AACCGGCTAAGAATTAATCTCTAAATGTGTGAGCAGCAAGGACCTCCCAAATCGTATCAAGGCTGTCCAGGAGGATAGGGTGCATGAGCACATCCTCAGCTATTGCCTAATTTATTGGGCTACATCCTGTATCCAACCAAGGAGAGGTCAGGTTGGGTTGGATGGTCGGCAACATCTAGTGTTGCAGAAAGAGAACGTGCCGGTATGTCTTCTGCACTATCCAGAGAGGACAGTCGACCGCCCGACATGGGAGCTGCGGTCCTTCTGCAGGTCATGCCCCAGCAATGTTGTCCTTACTGCTTTGATGCCTTCCACTTGGTGCCCTCTGGGTTCTCGGCCCCAAGGTTTTCTCCAGCTACGGAAGCCTGCTCTGATCATGTACTGGGGAGGGATGCATATGGCAACGGAGTTAATGTGTCCTAGAAGCAACCCTGAGCCAACGACCAATGGATATGTAAGAATTGTGTGTTTTACTCAAGCTCCTAGACTTTCATCCCCTGTATGGGGGTGCAGCCCCAGGTGACCCCAGCAGTAACTGGATGGATGGCAGTATCTTAACTGGCTGCCTCCCCTTCTTGTTACACTTTCCACTTTCCTACCAGAAACTCCTTCCACTTTCTGATGAATTACTTGAATCCAAATCCTTATCTCAGAATCCTACTTCTCAGAGAGTTTCTTTACAAAGAATTCTAGTCTCTGGGGCAATTATATTCCTCTTTGTATATCGAGTAACTGGTGATCTGGTTTGTACATTGGTCTTTTATCAGCTTGGCTAATGGAAGTCAGTTCCCCCTGGGGCACAGACAACTCTGGGTAGACAGACAAATACAGAGTGTAGACATGCATAGTCAAGCATGAGTCTAAAAAATTATCACTTTGTGAGAAGTTTCTCACTCACCTAGTAAACATTTGATCTCATCTAACAAGTAGACAATAGAAATTTGTTTGCATTTTTGATTTCCTCCCCAAAGTTGGAGAGAGAGATTCACTGTGGGAAGAGGAATTTATAATTTAATGGGTATGTAGATGTAACATACAATAGCTACTGCTTAACAACAACAATAAAAAAGATTATTATCTGTTTAAATATTTCTGATAACTAACACTAGTAAA